TGCTAATTTAAAAATGGGCTTGATCATGTGTTCGTGTTTCCGGCTTTTTTTTCTCCAAATAGAGGTGAAATGATACTGTATAGGGAATTCATCCATCTTTTTTCCTTATGATCCTCTGAGCTATGTCAGGATTTTTTTATCTAGTATAAGATATGGTTTGCTTTAAAGGAATTACTTTGGTTGCATAAGTATGATCCATGTTAACTGTTTAAACCTGGTTCTACATGTACATGCATGGCTAAAATACCAGTTTCATGCAAACAGTACTTGCATTGATAACAGTGATTTTTTACCTTTATTGCTGTTCAATTATACTTCATAAAGCATACGTAGAACTGTTAAGACACCATTTTTTTAAATTAATTTAACATGTCACATACATGTATTCAGGCTCCATTCAGTCAACAGAAGTCCACTTACACATGTTGTAACTCATAGATGGAGATAAGGTGCAGGTAGAATTAGAAATACAAAAAGTTAAAAAAAATATAACTCAAAGACTAATCTAGTCATGTTTGAATTTCAAATTTGTTTAGTGATGCAGGTCAGTTGGTTGACCCCAAGGAGTGGAGCTTTGGGAAGCGATATGGGAAGGGCGCAAAGGCAGGAATGGACACCCTTGAAGCACCAAAGCTTGCTGCCTTTGCAAACTTAAGAAGTTCTACAAGGACAAGCAGGACGTCTACTGCCTGGGTATGCCTCTTTTTAACCAGCTATTACCAGTTCAACCATAATTTGTAACCTCCTCCCACTTCCTTGCATCAAGGTTATTACAATTAGTACTTCTTCTTATGCCCATAAGCTGCATTCTATCCCAAAATCATAACCGTAGCATGTTCAAAACAAAAGATACAGAACCTAGTAAGCCAGGAAGGGTTTCCCTCCCCGCTGCGCCAGCAGTGCACAGATTTCCAACAAGTTTGTGCTCCATGAATGCCAATTTAATACATTGGGATAGTGTTGTTTCAACTTACTACATGTAAGTGAATAAGTGACTAGCATAGTCACTCAAGTCACTCAAGTCAATGGCAAACATCGGCAAAAGCAACATGACTATCAACATCGAAGGAATCCCAGCTGGCAACAATAAAGCAATTGCAGACATCATCAATAACACTTTGAGTAACATAACGAGTTCTCTGCCACCTCTAGACACCAGCAGGTTACCAGCTTACCTTCCTGCACCTCAGCCGCCCAAGGTAATGGTATGGGACATGTATCACAAACTCAGACACATCCGTATACGGAAGGCAGCCGGCCCAGACAATGTGACAGCCAGGCTCATCAAAGAGTACGCATACGAGCTGAGTCAACCACTAACTTTGATTATGAACAGGTCCCTGGCGGAAGGACGTGTCCCTCAAGAATGGCACGAAGCAACTGTGATAGCCCTACCTAAAACAAACCCACCTACCTTAAACGACCTGAGACCCATCTCACTGACTTCCCTCCTAGCAAAAACATGCGAGAGCTTTATTGCCAAATGGATCCTGACAGACATCACCCCACATCTTGACCCCAGACAGTTTGGCGGTATCCCGGGTCGATCAACAACCCATTGTCTTGTAGACATCCTAAACCAGCTATACAAGACATCAGACCAGAGAGACACAGTAAGCAGCTTGGTACTAACTGATTTCGCGAAAGCGTTTGATCGCGTAGATCACACAACTGCAATCTCGAGTCTCATAGATCTTGGCTGTCGACCATCCCTTCTTCCATGGCTGGGGGATTTCCTGACGGGGAGGAAACAACGCACCCGCTACCAGGACACGCTGTCTGAATGGAGGACGCTGACATGTGGACTTCCCCAGGGCACCGTCCTCGCGCCCATAGTGTTCATTGCTATCATCAATAGCGCAGCAAGCACCGCCCGATCACACCACTGGAAATTTGTGGATGATCTGAACATGGTTGAAAGCAGATCAGTCAAAGCACAGTCAAACCTACAACAAGATCTAAATGCCCTCGATCTATGGTCTAGTACAAACCACATGAAACTACACCCAAACAAATGCAAGGTGATGCATATCGTTTTCAGAAGAACACCTCCCCCACTCCCCCCACTTCAGTTAGCGGGCCACGTCCTTCAAGAAGTTACTGCAGCCAAGTTACTGGGAGTCTGGGTACAGAGGGACCTAAAGTGGGACAGTCATGTTACCCACATGGTGAAACAGAGCAGTAAACGGTTATTCATCCTACGACGGTTAAAGAAGTTCAAGATCCCCGAGACAGATCTTGTCACCGTTTATACATGTTACGTGCGCCCCTTGTGCGAGTACGCTGTACCGGTATGGAACCCTGGTCTCACCAAACTCCAGTCAACCCGTCTAGAGACAGTTCAACGCCGCGCATGCCGCACCATTCTGGGCAAGAAGTACACCTGTTACTCTGAAGCACTTACAGTCCTCGGCCTGTCTACCCTTGAAACAAGGAGAGAACTGCTGTGTACGAAGTTCGGACTCAGTCTACTGAACTCTGCTTCCTTCAGACATTGGCTCCCTCCATCTCGGGGCGAAGTCAGCGGGCGGAAAACCCGAACTAGTCACAAACTGAACTGTATTGTTGCAAAGACTCAGCGCTACCGCAACAGTTCCATCCCATATATTGTTAGCCTACTAAATAAGTAATCGAGCGTACTCGGTTACGACCTTCCAGTCATTGAGGGGTAATTAACTGTCATGCCTTAATAACATGTTTTGTTTAGTAGCCTTCTTTATGACCACTGTTTTACCTCGAATTCGTAATCTTAATATGTATTTTATCCAGCAATGTAAACTTATTAACATTTATAACTCTAATAGATTTTACCATATGTGTATATGTTTGTAATAGATGTTGTTCGATTTTAAAGCTTTTAATGGGTTGTAATTGTAAGTAACAGTGCAATTCAGAACCCCTGGGTTCTGCAAAACTGTTTTACGTCGTTATCAATAAACCAGTCATATAGTGACTTTGAAAATCTGGTTTCCAAGCCTTCAAACTGCATTGTGAACCTTTGTACACAACACCTTGTTCTGTTTGTCCCATAATACACAGCCCTAATCGAAGACCCTGAGCCGGAACTGACAGAAGAGGGATTGCCTGACATCACCTATCATCCTCCGGGCTGCAACTCTGAGGGGGAATCTTCACCTATTGACTTGGACAAAGAAGGTATATTGTACATTTATTGTATGATAGTTGTCTGCAAATTAACCAACATCTTTCTAATTATCTGACGAATGCCACACTGATTCAATTTTATGGAATTGTTCATTGATTTTCGCCCAGTGTAAACAAAACCTCCCCAGGGCTTAAAGGGGACTGACTCAGACACTCAGTACAGTGCCAACTCGTAAATGCCACAAAAGGCCAGCCTGCGTCGGCTTGACGTAAAACTGACCAAGTAACCACAATACCCTCTATTACTTCCTAGATTGATCATTATTCTTGTCTATAATACCACTTTAGCCGAGTCTAGATGGCTTGTTGTTTGTTTGCTAAGGTTTTCTACTGGGTTGGGGGTGTAGTGTGATTAAAAGCCATACGTCTGGTGGGCTGGTAAAACATCCCTTTTCCCAGTTGCCTGCCTTCAGTTGTCATTAGGGTTTAAATTCCACAAAGTGCTACATAATTCTATAGGAAGTGCTATTTGTCAAAGCCTGGGAATGCCTATTAACATTGTTGTACAGAGTTTTTTTTTCTGGAGAAAATGACTTCGTCACATTGTCACATTATTATATTGGTGCATTTCTCTGTTATTTTGTAGGAGAAGATGTGGAGGACAATCTGAATGATGAAGAAGGTAATTTTTTAAATAATATTTGCATACACTCAGGTAGCTAGACGTAGACGAGTTAGGTTTTAATACTTGGGTTTGCCAGCAATCATTCCTTTACGAAAAACACATTGAAAACAGTTGAGGTGTCTTGTATGAATTAACATTGATATTTTTTGGGATTTTTATGACATTTTATGGCCTGCATTGCATCAATGTGAGATGAAATTGCATTCTACTGCATGCCAAGCGCCAGCGAGGAAGACAGCCCAGAAAAGCTCTCCAAGTAAGTTTGTGTATCGTTTGTGTCATCTCTTATACTATTAATTGCAAGTAAGCTGTCAAGGCCAGAGAGTGTTAGGCGAAAAGCGAGTGACAGTTGGTTAATATACTAACTGATAAATTGAATGGTTATGGCAGAAATAATTTGCATGTATATGGAGTCAAGTAACTCAGCGGTCGCTCGAATTTCTTGAAGGGTTGTCAGCAATTTACGCATTGAAGACATGGAGGGCGATAACGAGGAGAGGACAAGACAGCAGCAGGAGGAAGGAAGAAGACAAGAGGAGCAGGAGGGAAGAAGACAAGAGGAGCAGGAGGGAAGAAGACAAGAGGAGCAGGAGGGAAGAAGACAAGAGGAGCAGGAGGGAAGAAGACAAGAGGAGCAGGAGGGAAGAAGACAAGAGGAGCATGCGCAGGAGGGAAGACAGCAAGAGGAGTACAGGAGACAGCAGGAAGAGTGGGCAAGACAGCAGGAGGTGGACTGGAGGAGACAGCAGGAAGAGTGGGCAAGACAGCAGGAGGTGGACTGGAGGAGACAGCAGGAAGAGTGGGCAAGACAGCAGGAGTGGACAAGACAGCATGAGGTGGACTGGAGAAGACTGCAGGAGGAAGCGGAGGAACAAAGGTCGGTAGCTAGGATACAACAAGTCCTGCAACATGACAGGTTAAGGGATAATTCAGTTTCCCTTCCGCAGCATGCATTGCGAAAACAGGGTGGCATAAGAGCGATCGTCATGACGTCATGACCGATGATGTATGATGTAAATGGCCTCCTTAAATCCTGTCGTAAAGTAACCACGTGTGTATACTTCAGAAGACCCGGACCTGGGACACCTATCCTCCAGAAACCACTTGTTGGTCTTCAATTGGAAAAGTTTTAATTGTCATTATATTGAAATGGTTGATTATGCCATAAGCCTTTGTATTCATTACTGCGTGCATCTAGCACGCTGACAACATGACACAACAAATACATGTATATGAGTCATGGAAATTAACTGACAACAGAAATCTTTCCTCTTTTCCTCAGGAGAGCACGATGGCCTCGAGTCATGGGCACTCGCGTGCCACCAGCAGTGCCGCCGCCGCAGTATGCGCCCTGGCCACTAGGATTGTTTGATACCAGTCACAATCTAAACCAGACGGGCCAAAACAACAACAGAGGCGGGGGGAACAGAGGACGCAATCGCCGTCGCAACAACGCTCACACTACACCTTATACAAGAAGCAATATGGGACGGGGGGAGGGGAATGGACAGGGGGAGGGGAATGGACAGGGGGGTGGGAATGGACAGGGGGGTGGAAATGGACAGGGGGGTGGGAATGGACAGGGGAATGGGAATGGACAGGGGTAAAGGCCGATTATCATATATAACGCTCACATACAATATCTAAACCACAATGATTAAATTTCTTTTGTTTCATTCTCATTCACACAGCAATTATAAAAATGATGACCTAATTTCCATAATTAATGCAAAAATTTAATTACTTCTTAGTGATAAATGGGAATTTCATATTAAGGACATGTGTAAGTTAATCCAAAGTTAACATCACGATGCATTTATTATGTTACTATAGTCATTATAGAGTAACATTAACATTATAACTGTGGGATTTGAAGGTTTTTGCCCTTGTAATGATAAGGATGAAGTAATCAACCCGTCTGCCACTCAAAAATCATTACTATAGACTTGTCTGTAAGTGTCATGTATAGGAGATATAATTGATTGTAACGTTACATACTACAGTACCAATGATTGACTAAGCACACACTCTTACCATATTTGCAATTAGGCCACAGCATGTCAACTTAATTAATGACATCCTCTGCAAACTCCAAGTAAACTTCGAGTCTTTTTGACAGCTTTAAGTACAAAGGACTTTGTTACGCTCGTCTCACAACCTTATTATAAGTTTGTTATTATTACAAATGCATGACAGAAGGCTAATTGTGAGTACGTATTTCATATACATATGAAGATATAAAATGATATGAAGAACTAATTCCTTCAGTACACTTTACTCTTTATACTACAGTACGATGTATATCAAGCCAGTTTTGTTGGGTTTTACTTCTTCTTTTGATTGCCGACCCAGTCAATTTACCCACTTCTTTAATAAGTGTTCTTTGAAATCAATCGATGAAAAATGAATGAAAATGTTTAAAATTAATGACAATGAAAATCTACAGTTGTGTAAAATATTGGCAACTGCACACTCTATATAAATCATACATACATACTTTAAAAGCTATAACTGTGTTACATGACTTACATATATTATACAACTAAACATACATAATAAATATTTACTGGCCAAATTGGAGATATAATGTGTTTCTAGAAATAGTTGCGATGTGCTGTATCCTTCTGTGGATGGCCGGGTTCAACTCTGTTAGGTTCCTCCCCAGTTTCTCATGGACCAAGTTCTTCTTCCTTTCCTAGCAGAGGTCCAATCTATAGAATACAAACAGGAGAGAAAGTATTTCAAAAGTGAGCAGAAATTGATGTCTACATGTATAACCGCTGAAAAATAATTCACAAGCGCGAGATTCGACGGGCACAAATTGAAAGTAACAATAATGATGACGTTATAAATTTAGTGAAACCAGGCGTTCACATATTTTTCATAAACATTGAAGCCCCAACACTTTTTCTATCAAATTCCTATAGGCCATTATACGTATTATGTTTAGAAAGAGAACGTCACGGGATATATGCATCATCGGGCTGCGGAATTTTGAGGATTTTTCGGGATAGGCGTCTCGATAAATTACGCGAGATATCCGCGTCCTGCGTACCGCGGAGCAAAAAAAAAAAACAACTTAGTGCGAGATCTCCAAATCTATCGTGGGTCCTATCACCGATGGCGGCGTGCTGAGTGTTTATTTTGTTACCTCCAGTCGGGCGATCTGGGCAGGGCACCCTGACGTCACATCAATTTTGCTAGAATTTTTATTCACCGGTGGTGAAGCACAGGAGAGTAGAAAAATATTGTGTAGAATTCTGGTGAAAAAACAAAGAAATGAAAACAACTTAATAGGAAAAAAAGTACGATATGTTTGATACATCTATTTCAATATCATCATTCAACATTTACCAGTTCAATTCAAGGACATATTTCAATACAACTCAGATATCCACAGTTACAGTACCCGGAAAGCAAAATGATTTAAGGCCAATCCTAACAAAATCAAATATGAAACAGTTTACGATAATAATAAGAAAAGTTTGAATCTTTACTTCTGGATAAAATAAGAAAATAATGTCAGACGTTTCAGACGCCGTCCGGCATCTTTCATCAGTGAAATATTCAAAATTGCGGTAGAACTCGGAACGGCACCGTTAATTCTAAAAGTATTTATGTTCTAAATAAACAAATAATAAGTTAGCAACAAGCGTTCTATAGATTCTATATACAATACACATGGTAAAGTATTAACTAATGTAATGATAAAGATAAGTGAGTCCCTAGATATGCTGTAAAGTAGAATCCCATGTACTTGAAAGTTCAACTCTAAGTCCTCCCTTCCTGTTGAGTGATGGTTTATAAAGTCTTTCATAAATCGCCTCCTTGACTCCACGCTCAAACCAGCGCGCCTCCCGGTCCAAGATGTCCGTTGATTCAAGTTGAAAAGAATGTCCTTTATGTTTGTCCAGATGGTGCCATATGGCCGAAGAAAATCCACTGTTACTGGCCCTGCAGTGTTGCTTATATCTTTCCTTGAGCGGCTGACTGGTCTCCCCGATGTACGTTTCTTTGCATTGATAATCTTCACATTTTAGTCTGTAAATGACATCCGATTTCACACAGTTTTTAAGTTTGTCCTTTGGATGAAACAACATCTGTCTGAGAGTGCGACATGGTTTGAAGTTGGTGGCGATGTTGTAGTTGTGTAAGATACGTCTTATCTTCTCCGAAACTCCTTGGATGTATGGGATGGAAATGTTGACTGTTTTAGTCCTGTCTAACTGTGAGTTTCTTGACGTCTTCTTAGATGAGTCGGAAGGCTTAAGTGCTTTGTTAAAAGTCCATTGTTGATATCCACACTTGGATAGAGCTTTCTTGAGGTGAGTATGTTCCTTGGCTCTGGCTTCAGCCGAAGTAATCAAGGTGTCTGCTCGATGAAACAAGGTTCTTATCACACCAAGTTTCTGTTCCTAGGGATGGTGAGAATCAAAGATGAGATATTGATCGGTGTGAGTAGGTTTACGATAAACCTCCACCTCAATGTGACCGTCTGTCTCTACATGTAGTTTGGCATCCAAGAAAGGTAGTGTGTTATCTTGACTGGTCTCCTGAGTAAAGCTGATATGTTTGTCAACCTTGTTAATGTGTTCGAAAAAACTGTCCGCCAATCCCTTCTTGAGCCGACACCATGTGTCATCCACGTATCTAAACCAGTTGGCAGGAGGGGTACCAGGAAAGCTATTGATAGCTTTAAGTTCGAACTTCTCCATGTAGAGATTGGCTGCGATAGGAGATACGGGAGAACCCATAGCGCAACCTTGTACTTGCTTGTAAAACTTGCCATCATAAGTAAAATATGTACATTCAAGGCAAAGTTCCAAGAGTTGACAGATCTGGTTGACTGACAATTTAGATCTCTCTTTCAGGGTGTCATCAGCTTCAAGGAATTCTCTTACCACTTCAACAGCTCCTTTAGGGGGTATGCAGGTAAACAGTGAACATACATCGTAGGATGTGATAATCTCATCATTTTCAACACAAATATCCTTGATTTTGTTGACAAAGTCTTCACTGTTTTTTACATGATGTTCTGATTTACCAACCAGAGGACCAATGATGTTGGCTAAGAACCGTGCAAGTTGATAAGTCACCGATCCTATGCTGGAAACAATTGGCCGAAGAGGGATGTTATTTTTATGTATTTTTGGAAGTCCATAGAAGGCTGGCGGTTGTTGTCCTTTT